TTTGTGCTACAGATAGGAGAACCAGCAACAGAAAGAAAGAAATATAAATAAAGCTGCTTCCATACCTGAGAAATGCTGGTGGTAGATGGAGACGTGCAGGTCATTACAAGAACAGTACCGATTTAGACAAAGCCTTAAAGCAACATGAATAGAAGAGAAAACAAATATTTCACAAACATTAATCTGATACAGGATTTTAAGTCACTCAGCGTCTAGTTACCAAATTACGACTCAGATAAAATAATAACTTACTGTTTTAACTGTAACTGCAGCTCCAGTCACTCCCTCAGATTTCGTTCTATCTTCTAAACTCATGTGAGTGAAGCTGGTCCGTGGTGTGTGAAGCCATTAGCCTGCTAGCCAGCAAGCTAACAACCCCACATATGACAGAACCTGGTTAGTTTCTCCTTTTCTATCACTCCAACGCCAGACACTCGACCTCTCTTGGATAAGTTAGTTAGTTAGCTGGAACTGAGCCGGTCTTCCAGCAGAGCTATTAACTTAGCCTGCTAACATTAGCTAAGCTTGCATAAACACGTTAGTTAGCTAGCTAGCTAACAACTCTAACAAGTGAACACACCAGTTTATTAGATATGGAACATAAATTCGACACAGTTCCAAATTCATTAAAAAAATAACTTCTCTCATATTACTTTTGAGTGCACTCATCTAGAAAAGGTGACTCACTAGGCTACCACGGCAGATAACGGCGAGCTAGCTAGCGTTAGCTAACTAACTGTTAGCAAACGACGCTCATGTTCGTTTTAACATAATAAAGAGTTCAACGTTAACAAATTATACCATTGTATTATGTTTGAGTAAAATGTCTGTTGGTACATCAAATAAACCAAGCATTTACTTACCAGACGTGTCTTCAAGCCTTCCGAAGTTTCCAGAAGCTGCTCTAAGTGCGCACTTCACGCGGTGGAGCGTCTGCCTCAATACAGGTGGAATCTGGCTCAATACAGGTGGAATCTGCCTCAGTGCGGGTAAGTGTAAATAGCCCCGAAGTGTCAATGTATATGTCTGTCTGCCCCTGTAATGGACTGGCGACCTGAAAAGGTGTTTTCACATTTTGGAGGCACTCAAAGAAGCATTAACTTGTATTCTGTGGACCATATTAAGCTGATATGCATTGACTTATCTCAGGTATAGGACTCTTGTCATTAAAACTTTGTGACTTTTTGTGGTGACGTTAAATGTAAATTCCTAAGCTAGTGACAATACCTTTACTTAAGCCACCCAGGTAGATAGTTAGACTAAACAAAACTATAATTATATTAAATGTTTGGACATCTTTTCAACTTGTAGGCAAGTAAAAGTATTACACATATAACTTTTTTGCTGTGACAGCAATGCAATTATTTAAAATAATATTACAGCATCTTTTCAACCTAATCACCTAACATCTATCAACGTAATTTTTCATGTAAAAGACGCTTTGAACTTATTCTCTTTGTCAATCACTGGACACAGATGCAACAGATAGAGATTAAGTTGAAAAACATTAGATTACTCCTTTAAAAAATAATTCCTTCAGTGTGGAACTGTGTCTAATCTGTGTTGAGAAAACTACCTGTAATGTCTCTGAGGGACATGCAAAGTTTACTGTACTATTTTTCATTTGTTTTCTGCACAGAGATGACAGATGTTAAAGCAACTAGTGCTGTGGTTACACAGACAGCATTTCTTTTAAAGTTTTTTTGCTAATTCAAACTTTTCCACCATATCACTTTGTAGAGCCTTGCTGCTCTTTTACCCAAAACATCCTGTAATGGAGCACTTCTGTAGTAGCTGTTTTTAACTGTCTTCAGAGCTATCAGACTGATTTATGTGAGAGGTGAATGTAGCCTTATTAATAAAGATTTTATGGCTTTAATGAAGCCTCAGTGGAAAACAAAAACATCTGTAATAGGAAGTGGTCACCCAATGCTCCTATAGATAGATGGAAAAATTTGTAAGTGAAAATACGTTAACAAATTCTGTACAGGATGCTGAGTTTAATATATTAGAAAACTGAGTTGACTAGATTGCCAATTTTATCATATCACAAAATATGAAATGTGCCAAACATTTTGCCCAGGCCACATTTGTGTTTTATATTTTTACCAATATGTTAAAATCAGCAAATAAGCAGTATTGTGCATGAAAATGTACAGAAGCGTTTTCTCTGTAGAAGATATATTAACTTGTTTTCGATTAGAAAATCAACAAAATGTTATTTGACCAGAGGTGCCCACAATTTTACATACAATTGATTGCTTGATAGCAGAGGTGGGAATTGCTGTAGATTCTGTGAGATATCACATCACAATACTTGAGATGTAATACAATTATATTATGATATTTAAAGATTTGTGATATGCCAAGTATGATATATTGCAATTTTATACAACAGATAGTTCCGGATTGGTTGAGAAGCGTTATTTCGCCATAACATCATGTTTTTTTCACAAACACTGTATCACTCCACTGAGACGGCGTTGCTAAGCAACGACTTTGACAGCTGGAGGAGACACTCAAGCCATTTGAACGTTTTCACTTCTTACTTTTTGCACAAACAGAAAATGGATACTTTTAAGATTACATTTGACCGACAGCCGATTTGGTCAGACTCTGAAGATGAGACTACACTAAATTCCGAAACTGTCATCACCACTGAGCAGCTTTTCAGTCGGCAGCTGTGACAGAAGAACACCTAAACAACCTGGAATTAGCCAGAAATGAACCGAATACCATTCCCCAAACAAAATGGGCTGTAAGATGCTTTACAGACTAGCTGGAACAAAACATTAATATTTATCTAGCAAAAATTAACAAAACTGAGCTACACTTGATAATGCAGCAGTTTTATGGCTCAGTCCGATTTGATCAGATTCTGAAGACAAGACTACACGTTTGGTGAATGGTCTCTGTGACAAGGCCAAACAAATTTGACTGCCTATGAATTTTGACCCCTCAGATGGCACTGCTTTGATGTTTCTGTGATGGATACAGCTGCGTTGACTCAGCGTTGTACTGCGTGGTACTTTGAAAAGCCATTGTCAAGAAACACAGTTTGTCGCTGCATTCACAAATGCAAGTTAATACTGTACTATGCACAGTGGCACTAATATGTAAACAGCATCCAGAAAGGCCTCTGACTTCTCTGGACTTGAGCTCATCTGAATTAAACTGATGCACAGTGGAAACGTGTACTGTGGTCTGACTTGTCAAGCTTTTAGATTGTTTTTGGAAATAATACACAACATGTTCTCTGAGCCAAAGAAGAAAAATTTTTTTAGCTTAAAGCTCAAAACCCAGGGTCTGTCATGGTATGGGGGTTATTAGTAGGTAACTTGCACAACTGTGAATGCACCATTAATGCTGAACACATTTTGAAGCAACATTTATTATGTTTTAGGTGTTCATTCTTATTTTAAAATGACAGCACCAAGCCACATTCTGCATTGGTTAGGGAAGCATGGCTGTGTAATCAGAGAGTGTGGGTGCTACAACAAAAGTATTTTAAGATATAATGAATGTTTAAAATGCACTATTACACCTCATAGGCTTTTCCCACTTTATGAAACAGCCTATTATGCAGTACATGAGTAACACTACAAGGTGAACATATCCTTATCAACTTAATATATCCTTAACTGAACCTAATGTTAGCCTTTTCAACTTTCATTAAGACTGTCGACTGTTGTGGTATTGGTGAAATGTCAAAATAACCTTGTATTGATTTGAAGTGACTCTTCCCCCTTTAAGGGGTCAAGTGGACTCAACCTATGCCAGCGAAATGCGCCCCCCGCCCCCGACAACATAACAGTGACATTGGACCCTCATCACTATGGGATCAAGCATTATGGACTGTAACAGTTCACTTAGTGTATACCACACATGCACTCACCCAATTGTGCAGAATGTGATGAAAGGTAACTCATCTGACTGTTTAATTTTTTCCATGCTTCTTTTCAACATTCTTTTTTTTTTTTAGGTAGGTTTATGCACTACCTTCCTATAATATCTTTTTGTACATACACATTATGAATGAATTGTTCTTGCTAACATAGTTGGATCACATTTTGTATTGACATTCTCAGTCACCTTAGGAACAGATGTTCTTTTTCAAGCCTATTTACTGATGTACCTCCAGTAGCTAGTTCAGCAGTATTTGTGACTAATGCTCCTGCCATGCAATAATGAATCCTCTATTGAGGTCACATAAATCTTTTCCTCTTGGCATCTTGAATCAAATTCAAGGTTAAATGGGACAGCATTTTTGAACATACCACAGAGAATGAAACATTATCGAATTGTATGCTGCAGTACCCCTGTCTAGAAGCATCTACACCTTTTTTCCAGTCTGCTCATTTATCCAGGTTTTTCCTGAGCTTAGCATAGCATCACTCATTAAACATATTTTCATGTACTTTAGTAATGCAAGCTTAAATATAATCTAATTCCATAATGCTGTAACGTATGAGTCTGTCACTGTCGTCTAGGACTATTTAGTGCCATTTGCTACAGGTGAAAGCAGTTGGGATTATTTGAGGATAATGTGATATACAAGCGACATAAAATAATTCAGGTCATGACATAACTCAGAAAGCAAACCGAATCGTCAAAGCTACTACAAAAAAAGGATCCCTTAAGACGTTGTGAAGGACTTCAAATGAGTTATCAAGCCCTAAGAGCTATTATTAGATTTATCTTTATTCATTTTTTTTACTTTTTAGCAGGAACATTTTATATTGATTTAAATGACTGATGTCTGCCAAAAATAAATAAAATGAAAAGAAAAAAATAAAAAATAGCATGCAATGATAATACGGCAAAAAAAACACCCTATTATCCACAACTTCAAAACTGAGACTGATAGCCAATCACAGGACGGAGGGGGCGGTTCCTGAAATGTAATGCGGAGCTTTAATACGGAAGTTAGTTCGTAACTTTATTGGCAGTCTCACCGTCCAATCAGGATTTAGCATGTTCGTCCGTAACCAATCAAAACACTATGTTTGAGTTTTTGCGCGAGTAAATTTTTCGACGATAAATATTTCTTTTGGCTTCGTTTATCAGACATTGACCATAATGGCAAGCCAGAGAAAGGAAGACGTTTCAGGTAACACTGTAACTTCACTTCAAGTCTGATTGAACTCTGTTGATATTGCTTCTGTATGCTCAGCTTTAAAACGGGTATTAGTTTTGTTTTATAAAATGCTTCCTTGTAGCCTCTCTGAAGACTTGACTTTATGATTCGTGTCCTGACATGAATCATTTTATATCACTTCACGTTAGTACTTCTGTATTACTGAACGTTGCATAGTGAGGATACATTTGATCAGCCGCGTTGAAAAGGGTTGATACATTATTTTAAGTTTAATGTACGTCTGTCAGAGCACTGCTTTAAGAAAAGTACCTCTGGCTGTTGGCTTAACGTGACGGGTTGCTTTACGTGCAATGAGGCTTGTTATTATTTCAGTGTTGGGATTATTTTTTTCAGGCCACGTTGAGAAGGACAGTGACTTAACACGACATACTACTTCAGGTTGGTTTCATTAAAAGCCTGTAAATGCTGCCTTGCACTTTAGAGGCCACTTTCATATTCATAAACAAATAAATACTTAATTATATAATATAGCGTTAATATTGTAGCCCTGCAGTATTTTTCTCCTGACATTTACATTCTGCTTTTTGTCAGTCTTGTTACAGGCAGAATTCTTTACTATTTTGCTGAAAACAGGTTTCTGAACAGCATTTAATCTGCCAGTGTACACTTCTTTCACAATATCTCTGTATGAAAAGAGAGTCTGGAAACCTTAAACTTAGTTATAATAATGATAATAATTATGATTATTATTATCATTATTATTATCATTATTATTATTAGAGGTGGCATATCGATATATGATATATCAGTGGAAAAAGCTTTTTGGATATCAGTGAAAAAAAAATAATTTGGTGCTTCATTTAAAAATAGCACATTTAAAAACGTAGTAGTTTTTAAAGATGAAATGTAAGAATGATTTTGTTAGTATCGACCAGTATTCAAGGTTTGATCAAAAAGACAATAGAAGCCAATAAAGGCTTGACCTTGGTATGTGTGCACTAAATAAGTGATCTCTGTGCCAACAGTAGTCCTCAATGCCGTTATGGTCCTGTTGTGGTTGCAAGTTACCTCCAATCTGCTGTTCAGTGAAGTGCTGTTATCTGCGGAGACTGTTTTGTATGATTTCTGGGCTGTAATGACTTAACACTTGAATAGATATTTCAGCTGTAGCACATGTGTATCAATTTTTTTTGTTTGTTTCAGTCCAGACACAAAACCTTACAGAGACAGATGCAGTGTTCAGAAGGTAAGATTCTGGCAAAATATTTGCTTTATTATAGGTTAAATAGCAAGATTTTTAACAATAATTTTATTATAGATGAAACAATACTACTTTTTCTTTTCCAGTCACAATATTGAAATCTTAAGTATGAATGCCAGTTTGATAATCTTTCTTAAAAAAAATACTATGCTTAATTTTTTTTCCAGTGCTTTCAGCCTCAATCCTGCTGAGGAATACAACATGAACCACAAGAACCGAGGCCTAGCACTCATATTCAACCAGGAGCGCTTCTACTGGCAGCTAATGTTGAACAGTCGTTCTGGGACGGCCGCAGACAAAGAAAATCTTAAAAAGAGGTGCATATAAAGATCACAAAGCACACTTCATAATACTTCTCAGCCTTATATAGTTACCTATTGTAGATAATGTAGATCTTTGTTTTATGTCATTTTTTAACACGTAGGATGTTTCAATAATGAAATGATAAAATTACTGTGCATTAGTTTAATATTATTCACTCATTATTCATACTGGACTTAACATTATTAACCAGTTGACCCGAAAAGAATTGTGCTTGGAATTGACATGACTTTTCATTTTTTACATTTCTGTCAGTTTCACGTGAATTAAATGTGTTAGATCAACACAATTCTTGCCAAAAGAGGTAACTGCAAGACGACCATCATGTAGATGTTGATATTTCATTCATGTGAAACCAGTTTACACTTTAAATCATATGAAGTCAATACACATTTTTTTCAGTGCAGCACCTTAGCATCCTAAACTAACATCTCAATGCAGATATGTCTAAAGTATGCATTTGGTGTTCATAACTTGCATATGAAATACAGTAGCTTTAAATAGCAAACCATGATTTTTTCAGGTTTATAGGCTTGGGATTTGATGTGAAAGTTTATGATGATTACAATAAAGATGAAATTCTGAAAATAATCACTGAAGGTAAGCAGATGTTACACAATCTTTTAATGCAAACTGATACCTAGAAAGCCACGGCATTTTTATTGGAGCTTTGTTTAATTTAGTTTTGCTTTCAACCTTTGAACACAGCTGCAGGTCGTAATCACATGGATGCAGACTGCTTTGTCTGCATTTTCTTGAGCCACGGTGAAAATGGCCATGTCTATGCCTATGATGCAGAGATTCACATCCAGGATATCACGGCACTTTTCAGAGGAGACAAGTGTCCAAGCCTCGTAGGAAAACCCAAAATATTCATCTTACAGGTGACTCATCTTCAACTCTGGAAAAAAACATCTTGTCATTTGACAGTATCATTCTTGGGGAAAAAGTACAAATAAACTGAAATGTAGTTAGTTACACTGTTGAATTTAGACAATTTTCCCAGATAAAATCAATATATTTTCACTGTCTGTTATAAATAATATGAGTAAAATTTTGCATAAAACTGTAGTAAATGTAGTTGATAAGCACAGACATTTTCAGTGTGTGAACTTTACTTCTTTAGTTTTGCGCTGGAGCTTCAAGGCTAATGCCGACAGGTTATTTTGAATTATATATAATGCATATTAAATTATACAGTGCCTTTCACAAATATTGGCACCCCTGGTAAACATGAACAAAACAGACTGTATAAAAACATTTATTACTTCTCCTTTTGTGTTACAAATATTCATTTTTTTAAATAATTTTTGACCTTCAGATTCCCCTGAACATTCTGAGAACAACATTGTGTGTATATCATGAAAAATCTCAGACTAGTAGAAAAATGTTGATTTCACATATTTTGCCAATGATATCAAAACATTTTCAGGGTGGAACTCAATAGTTCCATGGAGGCATTTATGTGGAATTAAACAGATTACGAAGAAGACAGATTTTGACTGTAGGCCTCACGGTTCAGGAGATATGGGCCAAATTGAAATATGTTACTATATAGCAACACCATCTGGCCAACTGGGGCCATTTCACTTGCCTGAGTAGTGGGATGGATACTTCACCTACCATTCAAATTTGAATGGTAGGTGAAGCACCAATGACTCAGACTTTGACTTCGATTTCAGCCTTTTGACTCTAAAAGACTCGAAAACCCAACGTGGAAAAAACGTGTGAGAGGCATCTGACTGCATACTGCTACACTGTTGGTTCCTTTTAATGTGAATGGATTTGTTGCCTGCCACAAGTTTGATATACAGCAACATCGTCAGATGTCTGTCACTGTGCCTATGCTTGGTGTATTTTATTTCGGAAGACAAGAGAAGCGTTAGAGTTCAAAATCACCTTCATAAGCTGGAAGCAAGTGAAGCGTCAACAGCATGAATGCGGAGCACTTAAACTTTGACCGATTTTAACAGCTTCTGCAGGTAAAACGAGCAACATTCATCACAAGGCTGAAGCTGACTTTCTTGTTCGCCAGCTTCTGAGCTGAACACAGTTTACAGAAAAGACAGCAAAATAATGGCAAATGTACAGGGCTGAAGTTTTTTTCTCCACAGCTCCTATTTAAATGATCCATTCCACCTTAAATGGTGCAGCAGTTATGTTCCAGCACCTAACTGCTGCACCATTTAAGGTGGGGTGTTTATTATAATGTTTATAATGTTTTATGAACATTCATCCATCCATCCATCATCTAAACCGCTTATCCTTCTGGGTCGCGGTGGGGTGCTGGAGCCTATCCCAGCTGTCATTGGGCGGAAGGCTGTTTTATGAACAAATAAATACTATTCAGATAAATAGCATTACATGCATTTTCTCAGATGACTTTTGCACAGTACTGCATATAATTTTGAAGTGTATATAAATTGAAATTTGTAAATGGCAGGCGTGTCGTGGGGACAAACACGATGACCCGGTCACTCCAATGGATGTGGTGGATAATAATAGGATCAATAAGGTTGTTGTGGATGCTGGGGTAGTGTACACACTGCCTGCGGGTGCTGACTTCATCATGTGCTATTCTGTAGCTGAGGGTGAGTAGAAAACCCAATTCAGTTTATTACTCACTACATCATTTTACTTGCTTTCTTAAAATAATAGTTTGATGTAGCAAGTGCCGTTCATACCCCAGTCCATATATACAAACTCAGCAGCCTATTTTGAATTCACTGTTTTTATGATGTTGCAAAAACACATGTGTATATCCACCTGTTCAGCCTACAGCAGTTCAGCTTTACCTATTCAAGTTGAAGTGATATGGAATGTGTAATCTGGACTGTTTTTGGAATGAGTGAATCAGAACAGAAGCCGTTTACATGAATCAGTCATAAATCAGGCACAGTAACAAAAATGGAGCTGTTTCATTTTCAAAGAGGTTGGAAAATAGTCATATGAAAAATGAATTATGACTGTTTTTTTTAATCATGACATCACTTAGGAAATGTATGTAGTTTTATAAGTGAGAAAGCAAAATACAAGAAAAATACAGGTTATGGGCCCTTACTCTACTTGTAATTTGTAGACAGGATGTGTGTGCACGTTCTATAGTCATATAGTCTGTTGATTGAGGAATTGGAGGAAGTGTGGACCCACATACAGACTGTCAGATTTTAAGGGGTTATAGAACCCTATTTGTAAATGAGATGTGTGATTGTGACAAACCTTATTAAAGTTTAAACAGCTCCTCATAATAAAGATTTTATAGCAGCTAATGCTTTTGCCTAGACCTGTGTGTTCAAGCCTAAAATAATTTACAACCGTTTATTGTTATGAGTGTGCTGTTAAAACAGGTGGAATCAATGTTCAAAAGTTTGGAATCAATATTTTTAATAATATAAAACAAACTTTAGTTTCAGCTGAATGAAAAATTGAATTCATTGTGCTAGTCCAGTTTAATCAAGTAATTACCATGAAACAAATGCTCTATAGTTCTATAGTTATGAGAGCAAGGAACTGAAGTGGGCATTAAATTAAAGTAATATTCCACTGTAGGCTGTGCTTTGTAGCATTTCCGTGAACACAATTAAGGGGTGTTGTTGGGCCCAACAAATTATGAAACTCTCTAAATCATGGTAAAATCACTGTAACACACAACTTTGAATAAAACAAACAAAAAAAAACAAAGTAAATAAATAATGTAATTTTTCATTAAGAATAATCACAATAATTGCTCATCATTCCAGTCCCATCCTTTTATACATTTATCAGCAGCCAAATTTGTTTTCTGTTTTTGAAAACATGGATTCCAATCTTTTGTAAGAACAGTAATGTATGTGTTTCATACGAAATGTTTGCTGGTAATTTGTAGCAAATGTAGTGTTCCTCTGTGTTTCTCCTCGAGCAGGATTCTACTCACACAGGGAGACAGTGAATGGTTCCTGGTACATCCAGGATCTGTGTGAGATTTTGCATCATTACGGCTCTGCACTGGAGTTCACTGAGCTTCTGACGCTCGTCAATCGCAAAGTGTCCCAACGCAGCGTGGGAAACTGCAGTGACCGCTCTGCCATTGGCAAGAAACAGGTGCCCTGCTTTGCCTCCATGCTGACCAAGAAACTTTACTTCAGACCCAAGAAAGGAAACTAGGTTTAGCCAGTCACTGAGACAGACACACAGACACACACTTGAACACACTCAAACACGCACCACACACATAGTGTTCATTTTAGTCTGTGCAGCTACAATTGCTGTATGTGCTTATCAAGTGTAGATATTATACACATTAAACCACTTTACAAAAGTTTGGAATCGCTGTTTTAGTAACATAAAACCAATCTGGTTGCAGACTGCAGAAAATGCATAATATGATTCTGTTAGGGGTGAAAGATTGTTTTTATTAATTGTTTTTCTGTCAATCACAAATTAAGAGTGCAGTTTCAATATTGTGAGGTACATTACGAATTGCAGCTTACAACATAGAGCTGGTGAACTGCCTGTAGATGAGTTGCACCAATCAGAAGCAACCAAACACACTTGATGCATACATTACAAGGCAGCCACTATTAACTGGATGTTGGGCACAGTACATTTAGTGCTCAAGCCTGAAGGTAGAAAAAGAGGTTTTCGGTGTACTTGGTCAAAAAAAAGGCCTGGACCTTACTTATAGAAAATAACCTATATATTGTGTTATAGTACCAAATTAGGAAATAATCCTATAATTAGAAAATTACGGTGTATCAATAATCACTTACCTTATTCATATCTGAAACTACAATTTTGCATTTCTTTTGCTCCATTCTGTCTTTCCTATGCGCAAATCTGAAGAAATTCTTCAAATCAAACACAACATATGGCTAAAAAAGGGATAAATTAAATCCTTTTGATGGCATGGGAATAGTCTTAACAAAACAATCGAAAACCAAAAAATCTAACTAAAAAACAGTGAATAAATGATGAAAATAAATATACAGCATAACTACAAAATTGCATCACTTCAGACGAAAGTGTTTTTTCATATATATTAACTTTATTTTTCTGACATAAATAGAATTTACATCCTTTACTTCCAAAACTAAAAAACTGAATAATTATTTTGGTGAAATATGATTCCAAGCTTTAGTATATCAATGCACACTCTCAGTTACAGGGCCAAGACACTGATAAAGGTGCATCACCTTTACCTTTCACACAGTATGCTGACCTTATTTAAAGGCGGGGTTGAAACAGGTTAGTTAGGGGCACATGAGAAAATGCTTGTGCTGCAGGCTTCGGCCTTTCATTTCTCTCACACACGATGCAACATTTTTCTGCAACTTTCATTTTTATTTACATACAAAGAGGCTAAGGTAAAGAAATTCCAGCACTCACTTGTTCAACAGGTTTGACTGGGCGTGCTGTAACAGACAAAACTGGGGTGAGGAGACAGATTTTTACTAGAGATTTCTTTGCAAAGGAGTTCTTTCACAGAAACATAGTAACCTGGATTTTGGAGTTTTAAGCAAAAACAATTTTATTCTGGCAAATTATCTTACATATAGTCAAAATATTTCATATTTTGTTTTTTTTTTAAGATTGCTATAAGAATGTTATGAGCTTTAGCTTATTTCTAGACCTGTTTACTTGTTTTAAATCTATCTAGTCAATTATTTTACTGCCACATTTTCTTATTTCAAGAAATGTTTTAAATAACCAAAGTTCTCTGCCAATGGAATACAACAATTTCACCAGATGAAATGACTTAAATCTAGAATAAGGCATCTCAAAATAAGTGTGATAATCTGAAGATATACAAATCTTAACATGAGAATGTATTTGATATATTGACCAAATCTAAGATGAATTTTGACCAATATCAATGTTTGAGAGCAAATTTAGTATTTAATAATAATTTCAGCTACAATATGCGAAAAAATCATTTTCAGACATGGTATATGGTATACACTGTATGATTTTTTTATTTGCAAACACTGATATTTTGTTCAGCAGAAAGGGGAATTCTTCTTTATGTCTCTCAGTCTCATCCAACTGTTCCAATACTTCATTACTTTATCTGTAACTTTTATCATAAGAAAAAAGAAAACTTAAAGGAGCATTACATTGTGCCCTCCCACTTCTCCAAATTTTGCCATGTGTACTGGCTATTTGTATTGCAGAAATACAACCTGAGCCAAACAGAAGCCTAAGCTTTCATTGAATGCCACTGTATAAAAGTCCATACTGTTTTCATTAGGGATGCACTGATACCATTTTTTTCAGACCGTACAAACACGAGTAGGCTACATATTTTTATTACTCACCAATGTCAAGCCCGATACCATACTGAGTAACCTACTTAGAATTAAGTAGTTGTTAGTGTAAATTAAATATATAAAATAATGTTAATTAAATCATTAAAATATAGCTGATTTTAAATGAAGTGCATTTGCTAGCTATGCTGCATTAGTCGTGCCTGGGATCGAGTAATGCTGCAGTGGAGAAGAGTGGGCAAAAAAGCGCTTCTGTATAGCTGTAGGTACAAGTCATAGTTTTGCTCCTTGCCTCTCTCTTTCAACAACAGTCTCTGTAGCACAGCGACAGCAGGAATCACATCCGAGGCTAAAGCACCCGATGAATTTGTGTTGCGGGTTTTACGTCTTGTTCGGAGTATTTTGTTTGGCTGGTTGAGCTGTAGCTGAATGTCCTCTAAGGTCAGATACACACGATTTTAGAAATCTTGTTCTTCGGTGACTTAAACTGTACATTTGAACAGACCATCACGTACAGACCAAGCCTAAGATTTGTATGTGAAACGCAGCCTTTACAGACAGCTCTGTCTACAAACAGTTTAAAATAAAGCTGTTTCATTCAAAACAACATGCTGCCGACTGAGTGCTGAGCTTAGAGAAACTGAGCAGCTCGCCTAACACTGTGAACTAAAGTTAAAAGCAGGTGGTGATGTACACAGAAGGACAATACAGCCTTCCTACTGGCTTTCTACAGCCTATTTTACAAAAGAAAATCACTGTATTAACATTTATACCTCGCTATTATATTCAGTCAAACAAAGTCAGCATAGAGGTGCTTTGATAGCAATTGTCGACTTTTTTCTCCTCGGTTTAGTTGACCTGTGTGTCTCCACAGAAGCGGATGTGATTTTGTTTGTATTTGTGTTTAGAACGGGCTAAAATCACACAGTGCATTCCTGGCGAGAATCTGCTATGGCGGAATATTTTAAATGGTTGATGGCTTTGTGTCAGACTTTCATGAAGTCAGTAACATTTCTCTGTGTAAACAGAGCCTCGTTCACTGTGTTTGCTCATTAGTGCGACAGCTGCACTTGGTTTACACAGTGGGAATCAGATGTTGGTATCGGTGAATTTTTATAAGTACGAGTGAATGAGCACAGTTTTGGCCCGATACCAGTATCAGTGTGATGCGTCCCTAGGTTTAATTGTTCAACTTTCATTTTAATTGATCAGTCAATCAGGAGTATGCTTCTCTGAACTTACAACAATTCTTTAGAAAACAATGCATAATGAAATGTTAAATTTCATCATCATTTGATTTAATTCAGTTATTTTGATTTTGTTTTTTTTTATATTAAACTGTTTATACCATATTTCCTCAATGTTTGAACAAAATCTTCAAATTGGTAAGTTTACAGGAGAAATTTTAAAAAATTCTCAAATTTCAGTGTAAGTTATTGTCATGAGACTTCATTCAGTGTAATTTTAGAGCATTTGCATTGTAACGTAAGGGCAGCTAGCATTTGTGTAAAAAAAAATAATAAAATGACAAAAATGGCGATTTGCAGGGTTTATCTCAACAGTGATGAAATGTACCATGAACAGTTTATACAGCACTGTTTTTGTAAACCCTCTTTATTTTAAGTTTCTTTGAATATAATAATCAATTACAATTCTAATAAATATCATTTTAGATATCATTTTAAAATTCCAAAATTGATGCAGTTGAATCACCACTTTCCAGTTGATGCCTTTTCTACTCCTACAATCAATAAATTCTAACAGTAAATGAAATATGATGCTATTTTAAACACAGATTGTACCTCAGGACACAAAGCGTCTAACACTAAAAGAATGCTTTAAAGGCAGTTCACCAGCGTATTTCTGTGTCTTTCTTATATTGTCACTTTGTTCTGAAGCTACAGCAGGAAATCTTCAGAGATTTTTCACCTGTAGTAGTTTTTCAGTAGTTAAAGAAGCAGTAATGTGGTCTTTACATGTATAACGGTCAGTAGATTTTATCTCTCAGTAATGAACTCAGGATAAAAAAGACCTAGTTTTCCTCTTCGCTCTCATATTTTAAAGCAACAGTCCATGATTTGTAAATTTTGATAAAGCAGGAAATCTGTGTTGTTCTTTGCAGACTGTGTCCCTCTAATCAATGTTATTTACTTAAATAGTATCCTTGTAACAAGCACTTTCAAGCTGGACAGTTTTTTTTTTTTTCTCCCCAGTCTGTCAAAAAGGCTCTTATTTTAGGAAAAGCTCCATTAGGGATGGGACAGTATGACCATCAGTATATTGATGGTTTGTGGTGTCATCATGTAATTCATAAAATCAATATATTAAAGTATTTATAAAGTTCTAAATGTAGTTATGAAATAACTAAAGTTAGGGAGGAAGACCATATCAGAAATTCTTCTAGGAAAGTTCTGGTGAGGACTACCACTCTGTAATCTCTTCTGAGTTGAGGGCACTCCTTAGAGAGTCCAGAAAGAATGGGTTCCTGTGGCACATTTTTGCAAAACTGCAGTTTATAAATGGCTAATACTTTTTATTGTTTTCTCAACACAGAATGGCCTAAAATATTTCACCATTGCTGCCATATTTTTACTGCTTTTCAGCCAGTGAGCTCATTAGCTTACTGACCAATCAACACTCAGCAGCCATAATGCTAATACACTACTATGTAAAACATGCTTGCTGTAGAAAAATGAAAAGATATTTCTGGAAGTTCTAGCATGAATGGTTAGAATTACGTTTAATTTTATGATTTTATCTATTTAGCTCTTTTCACTCCAATTCATTAAGTACTCACTTGCATGGGCCCTCTAGCATTTCGCAATCATGTTTTTGGTATAAGGGTGAATAAGAAATGACCAGACATATACAGTTTAAGACTGTCCTATCCCTAAACCCAACATTGAGAGTAGATTTCAAGATATCTGCTTTCTTCTATTTTTCCTCAAAGTATTCAGCTCTTTCCAGTGCCATGGTTTGTCCTTGTTTGATTTAAACGTGTGTGCTTTTAACAGGTTAATGGGAGACTAAGTTTGCAAAATGTTCAGATAAAGTATTTTATCTAATCTGTTATATTTTAAAGCATATTTGGGGAGAGATTTAAAATCTGTTTTTGGAGGAACATTATTGATTTTACTGGAATAAGGTATGATTAAAAACAAATAAACGTGCATGCTGTATCATTTGTGTTTTATTTGTGCCTGTTGTGTTCCAGATGCATGTTAAATAATGAAGCTGTCCTGAATAATGTGAGCAATAATCTAGTTAAAATGATGGTTCAGGGGCGGCACGGTGGCGCAGTGGGTAGCGCTGTCGCCTCACAGCAGGAAGGGCCTGGGTTCGATTCCCGGCTGGGTGACCAGGGTCGTTTCTGTGTGGAGTGTGCATGTTGCGTGGGTTTCCTCCGGGTACTCCGATTTCCTCCCACATTCCAAAAACATACAGTCAGGCCAATTGGCCATGCTAAATTGCCCCAAGGTTTGAGTGTGTGAGTGACTGTGTATGTCTGTCTGTCTGCCCTGCGATGGACTGGTGACCTGTCCAGGGTGTATCCTGCCTTCCGCCCAATGACAGCTGGGATAGGCTCCAGCACCCCACCGCGACAAGCGGTTTAGACCGCGATAAGCGGT